GTAATGGCGGCGATCAACGACTTATAGTGGGACTGCGGTGGGCATTCTGACACTGGGGGGAACTAACTTGGTGTCACTGACATCCCCAGTGACACCAATACAGTGATCAGTTCTACAAAAAAGCATTGACACTGTACTAATGGCGCTGGGCAGGAAGGGGTTAACATGAGGGGTGATCAAAGGGTTAGCTGTGTGCTGTGTGCTGTGTGCTGTTTCACAGTAAGCTCTGTGTGTGTGCTTAACTGTAATCACACTGCTTTGGATGGCTGTGCTGTGCACAGCCATCCAAAGCAGTGTGCATGAGCTGAAACAGAGAGGAGAACTGTATTGTTTACATACAGTTCTCAACCCCGTCGGAGATCCTCGCAATCACCAGCCGGGACCCAGTGATTGACATCCGTGGCTACAAACGGCAGCGCAGGTAGGGTGCTCGTGTTCCCCCTACTCGGAAATACAAAATCACGTATATATACGTGATTTTGCGTACCCGTGCCACCCTGTAGCAGTATATCTGCTATAGGGCGGTCGGGAAGTGGCTAAAAAGCAAAGCAGCTGTCTCCATACTAACAACGATGTTGGAAGCCTGTCCAACATTGCAGCTAGTGTTACAGGGCACCTAAGGAGCGAGGACAAAGTACTACATGTACTTTGTCCCATTGGGAACTCAATCATGTAAAAAAATTATTTTTTTTTAAAAAGTGAGTGTACTTTTCCTGTTTCCTCACTGTAAGTCTATGGATCTACTCAGATTCAATGAACACAAATAAAGTCTCGAGGTGGATAATCCTGCAGCTAGTTTTATAAGAGTTTTCTCAGCAAGTATGCTGATTGTGCTGTCCAAAGAAAAAAAATCTTATGAATCTACATATCAAATATCATAAAAATTAAAAAATATAAAATGTAAATGCTGCAATAATAGCTAAAATGTGCACTTATGGATTTGCACTAAAGTATCTTGTTAATACAAATATCCAATAGCAGTACAGCTTTATCTTGATAAAATGCACACACAAGTGTATATCATTGTCTGTTCTAGTAGCATCCCATACAGCATGCCAGATATCACATTACAGTCCCTTATCTATGAGTAGCAGAAAAACCTGCAGTTGTTTTATGATTGTCCTTATCATTAGTAAAGAATGATAGGAAGACAGCAATAGGAAATTATCATATCAATTATGAAATCACATTTCCACATTTTGGTACTAGCAAATGAAATAGTTTCATGATCACCCTGGACATTGTGATTGCAATATAAACCAGATTACATCTGAAATTGTATTCTATTTAAATGGTGATATGGTTTCCTACCGTATAGGATACATGCATGGTATCACAAAATTTGTCTTCTTTAGCTAGAAAACAGGATATTTTATCCAGCATTGGCAAACTTTATATGAGAACAGATGAGGCCACCAGTTCAGATCTCAAAGCAATTATCCTAAGTATCTGTAATCAGGCAGACTCTTGTTTTGCATCATGCATGCCATTCCCTTTGAATGACACTCCAACATACTAAAGGAATGCACCTACATTACAGTGCAGCACAATGCACAGTGATACGCTACTGGCGTAGAAAAGTAGAAGAGTGACAGTAGAGAAAAACCTGTGATCCATTGTGTCTGCCCCCTTTTTAATTTTTTTGTCTGATTATTTTATGACAGCTTAAATTCACTTACTGTTGACTGATTTACAACTTCTGCTGAAACTCTGTTTCAAGCATCAACTACTCTTTCAGTAAAATAATAATTTCTAAAATTGGTTTTGAACTTTCCTCTCACTAGCTTGAGGCCAAGTCCTGATGTTCTTGAAAATACTGCCCTTCTGAACCTTATTTACAACATTATTGTATGTAAAAGTTTTAATCATGTCCACACATTACCATCTTTCCTCAAGACTGTATATATATTAAAATGATTCTAAAGGCTTTGAAAAAAAAAGTCTATACTTACCAGCTGTGCGCAGTGGTTTTGCACAGAGCAGCCCAGATGTTCCTCTTCTCAGGTCCCCTGCTCGCGCTACTGGCCCCTCCCTCCTGTACGGTGCCCCCACAGCAAGCAGCTTGCTATGGGAGCACCCGCTGCTCAATGTGTCCATTCACACGTGGAGCTGCAGCTGAGCCCCACCCCCCTCTCTTTCATTGGCTCACTGGCGGTGATTGACAGCAGTGGGAGCCAATGGCTTCCACTTCTGTTTCAGCCAGTGAGAAGAGGGAGTCCTGGGATAGCCGAGACTCCACTGCACATCGCTGGATTGAGAGGGGGCTTAGGTGAGTATTAGGGGGCTGGGGGGGATGCTGCACAAAGAAGGTTTTTTACCTTCATGCATAGAATGAAGGATTCAGGACTTTTTTCATTCTGCTGGTGCCCCTCTAGTGATAACTGAAGATCTGCAGTATATAGGGGAATCAGGACCTCCTTGCTACTGATCCCTCTAGCGATAGGTAGATCTATAGTAGGTAAAGATACCTATATATATGTAAAGATCTATAATAGGCAAACAGGATCTCCTTCCTCCTGCTGATGATCGCTCTAGTGATAACTAAAGAATTATACAGAGGAATCAGGACCTCCTTTCTACTGTTGGTGATCTCTCTAGTGATAACTAAAGATCTATACAGAGGAATCAGGACCTCCTGCTGGTGACCTCTCTAGCGATAGCTAAAGATCTACAGGAATGGAACTGGGACCTCCTTCCTCCTGCTGGTGATCGCTCTAGTGATGAATAAATATCTGTATAGGTGAATCAGGGCATGCTGTTGGTATTACCTCTAGAGATAATTAAAGATCTATTAAGAGAAATCATGACTTCTTTCCAACGGCTGGTGATCCCTCTAGTAATGACTGAAATTATTTATATAGGGCAATCAGGACCTCCTTCCTACTGCTGGTGACCTCTCTGGTGATAGCTAGGGATCTATAGAAGGGAATCAGGACCTCCTAACTCCTGCTGGTAATCCCTCTAGTGATAATTAAAGATCTATAAAGAAGAATCAAGACCTTCTTCCTCCTGCTGAGAACCTCTCTAGTGATAGCTAAAAATCTATATAGGGGAATCAGAACCTCCTTCCTCCTGCTGGTGACCCCTCTAGGGATGTACCCCAGAATTCTATTCACTTTCCCTACTGTCCTGCCACATGGATTGCTCATTTTGCAGTCATCTGAATAAAAAGGCGCCCAAACCTTTTTTTCCTCTTTACCCCAATATTGTTCTTTCTCTTCAGGGATTCTTTTCTCTTAGTGCAGTATTTTGCATTTAAAAGTATTGAACTGCAGTTTCCACTGCATTGACCAATCGTCAGCAATGCCATTTCCATGTTACAAACACCTCTATGAACATTAACCTTATTGCACACCGACCGTGTCTTGTGGTGTACTGCATTGGAAAAACATGGTGCATGTTCACTTGTAGGTCCATAGTGGTGCGCTGGCAGCTCAGGTCATATGAATAGGCTGCCTTCATACAACACATAACACACATGTGATAATGCACTGCAACAAACCAGATAAATATAAAGGGGCCCTAAAGAGTCCAAAACTACTTTAAGGTACATAACCAAAAGTAAAAAAAATAACATACGTATTGTACTTTACTTTACCTTTTCTCTTGCTCATCATGAACATGTTCATTTATTTTATTTAGAGGCAGTGACCTTTTATCCCTTGGTACCTGTAAACAGGATGAGATAGGGAGATTTTTATTGTTATTTAGCAGCCCAATGCTGGGAAATTCTTTTTATTTTATTTTATATGGTGCGGTAGAATGTCAGGTTTTTATTGCTGTATGTTTCCCTATCGGGGACATTTCCCTTCATTTTCTTTCAGGATGGGAAGTGAAGGGAAAATCTATCCTAAGGGATCACAAACAAAAAGTTGTTTGCCTGGTTTTTTTAAACTTTTTATATGATTTTTGGGGACTTTTTGTATGTGTTTCAGTTGGAGAGATTCACATTGCTCCCTGCTCTGATAGGAAATGCAGAAATATTTCCCCAACAGGGACACAGACAGAAACAATATTCCCAATAGGAATACAGATAGAAATAATATTCTTAATAGGAACACAGACTGAAATAAAAACCTGGGTCGAGCAATAAAGTGAACCAGCAGTGCATACCTTACTTTCCATTCCCAGCAGCTCTGTTGAGCTGTGTGGAATGTAGGAAAGTGCCTGGAGTTGAAATGCTGGAGTTGTAGTTTACACAGGGTTTATGGACTCACATTGTGACAGCGCTGATTGGCCCAGTGCTGTCACATGGAGGTCAGCCACATGTTCTTCCATACCTGGATGTACCAGTCATTTCCTTTGGCTACCAGTTCTCAAAAGAATGGCGAAAAAGTAAATGAAAGGTGGGTATGTGCTACAGAGGATGGCAGTATAAAAGTAAACCTGTTACCCTACTTGGGCAAAGCATTGCTTCTTATGGATTCATTGCTTGTTTTATGGATTCAGGGGAGTATAAAAACCAGAGTAAATGTTACCTTATAATAATCATATAAAAGGCCAAGAGCAGCAGCACTGTCTTCATCTCCATTTATGCTCATCATTGCCTTTGTGGCGGCTGTCAATGGATTTTCCAGGTACGTCTTCCAGGCCTCATCCTCACTTGTGTACGGTCGTCGGGGATTAAAAGCTGCTTCATTGGACACCAAGACCACAAGCCTTTTACTAAGTTAAATAAAATAATATTTGTTGATTACCATATTAGATTACAGACACACAACACTGTTTAGAGGGAAGACATATAATATTTTCAATAATTTTTTGATATGCAATGTAAAAGAGTAATATGATTTAGATAACATTATCCATGTCTGAAAGTTTTCAAAACTTTGTTTCTAAAAACAGTTTGTAATTATATATGTACATGAAGGCAGCCATAGATTCTTATTACATACACTATAATGCCAAAAGAATTGAGACACCCCTCCACTCCAAATCATTAGATTCAGGTGTTGCAATCACCTTCATGACCACAGGTGTATAAAATCAAACACCTAGGCATGCAGACTACTTCTACAAACATTTTTGAAAGAATAGGTCACTCTCAGGAGCTCAGTGAATTCAAGCGTGGTACCGTGATAGGTTGCCACCTGTGCAATAAGTCCATCCGTGAAATTTCCTTGCTACTAAATATTCCACAGTCAACTGTTAGTGGTATTATAACAAAGTGGAAGCAAATAGAAACAACAGCAACTCAGTCACAAAGGGGTAGGCCAAGTTAAATGACAGAGCGGGGTCAGCGCATGCTGAAGCACACAGTGCGCAGAAGTCGCCCACTGTCTGCTGAGTCAATAGCTAAAGACCTCCAAACTTCATGTGGCCCTCAGATTAGCACAACAAAAGTGCATAGAGAGCTTCATGGAATGGGTTTCCATAGCCGAGCAGCTGCATCCAAGCCTTACATCACCATGTGCAATGCAAAGCGTCGGATGTCATGGTGTAAAGCACACCGCCACTGGACTCTAGAGCAGTTGAGACGTGTTCTCTGGAGTGACAAATCATGCTTCTCTGTCTGGCAATCCGATGGACGTGTCTGGGTTTGACGGTTACCAGGAGAACGGTACTTGCCTGACTGCTTTGTGCCAAGTGGAAAGATTGGTGGAAGGGAGATTATGGTGTGAGGTTGTTTTTCAGGGGTTGGGCTTGGCTCCTTAGTTCCAGTGAAGGGAACTCTTAAGGCATCAGCATAACAAGACATTTTGGACAATTTCATGGTCCCAACTTTGTGGGAACAGTTTGGGGATGGCCCCTTCCTTTTCCAACATGACTGTGCACCAGTGCACAAAGCAAGGTCCATAAAGACATGCATGAGTGAGTTTGGGGTGAAGGAACTTGACTGACCTGCACAGAGTCCTGACCTCAACCCGATAGAACACCTTTGGGATGAATTAGAGCAGAGACCGTGAGCCAGGCCTTCTTGTCCAACATCAGTGCCTGACCTCACAAATGCGCTTCTGGAAGAATGGTCAAACATTCCCATAGACACACTCCCAAACCTTGTGGACAGCCTTCCCAGAAGAATTGAAGCTGTTATAGCTGCAAAGGGTGGGTCAACGCAATATTGAACCCTACGGACTAAGACTGGGATGCCATTAAAGCTCATGTACATGTAAAGGCAGGCATCCCAATACGTTCAGCAATATAGTGTATGTAGAGTGTGCATCCTGCTATGCAGTGCTACACAAAGGTTGCACTTTATTGCTTTTTTTCACTGTAAAAAATGTAATAGTTGAACAATGCATTGAAAACAACGCACTCCCTGTGTGCCTGATATTATACAGTATACCAACAGTTATAAGGCAAGAAGGCTAATGAGACTGAATCAGGTGAGGAGCTCCCTTTAGTGGTTAAGCTACAAGTCTCTGTATTTATTGCAGTATTAAAGTGATTATAAAGGCTCAGGGTGTTTTACCTTAATGCATTCTTTGCATTAAGGTAAAAACCCTTCTGTACAATAAACTTTCCCCCTCAGCCCACCTACTTACCTGAGCCGATCTTGATCCATCGATGTGCATGACAGCAGTGGCTCTATCCTCCGTCTCCCTCTCAGTGATGATTGATAGATGCAAAGCTACTGTCAATCAAATCCTATGACGAGGGAATGGGGGCAGGGGAAATGGGGCCATGCCCCGCTGTCTCTGTCTATGGACAGAGAAAGCGGGGCTCAGGAGAGAGCCCACGCAAGTCCCCCTCCCGTATTGGGGGCACTCGCTGAAGAGGAGGAGCCAGGAGTGCTGGCGGGGGACTCAAGAAAAGGAGGATTGGAGATGCTCTGTGAAAAACCATTGTACAGAGCAGGTAAATATAACAAGTTTGTATGGTTTTTTTGTATTTAAAATGACTTTAAATATGGAAATACTAGCATTTACATATGTCAAAGTCACATTAAAAATGTCTCTGATGTAAGTAATGCAATAATAACTTCAAATATATATCCTAACATATGGCTTTTACAAACCATAACATGTCACAAGAAGGACATGTACTGTGAAAGTTGTGCCCAAGGAAGGCAAGCAGAGGGCAAAGGACTAGTCACTAGTACTGCCTGCAGCAGATACGTTCCCCATTAGGCTGGCCATCCATGCTAAGCAACTTGGATGGAGGAATCTCTGCTGCCTGCTATGGTATTCAAGCAGCCACAACACCTGCAACTACATGAACACCTTAACATTGAATCTGATAAAATACAGTCAATCTTTGACTGGAAAATTTTCACCCAACTCCTTATTTTTGAATCAAAGGATTTCAAGTCAATGGTGTTGACAGGGCCCCCCAATGCTCGAGCAGTGTATAGCCATCATTATCATACCCGTATCCATGCTGTGTTTCAATGTGGAGGCGACTGTCTTAGAAGAGGAGCAGAGAAATCTTTGCACTGCAGATCTGCTGGTGCAGTGAGCAAAACCATAGTGGCGTACCCAAATCTCACTCCAAATCTCTTGAGACTTGCAGTCAGAATCAGCAGTGCCTTAGATGAGCTCACACTGCAAATATACAAATGTAGCGTTGCCCCCTTAAGAGTCAGTAAGTATTTTGGTTTCCCTGTCTGTTCTGAGCCTGTTTTGGAAGTACAGCCCTTACTGACACCACCGTGAAACCTTGACCAGGAGGACTCCCTGGCTTTGAACCATAAAATGAATACACAATTTAAGGTGAACAAATATTCTGATTGTATGGAGGGCAGGGTACAGAGAGTGCATGCACAAAAAAAAAAGAATGACAGATCTGTATAAAAAAAAAATAAACAGTCTAAAAGGTTTAACAAAATACTAAAGCACAGTATCACTTTAAATAAACCCAAATGTCCCACAGGATCAGAATTTAAACAATTCCAACTTATGAGATATCTTTCCCCAAGTGAGCTGAAGTGGGCTATCACGATGCTAGGCTAACTCACTTTTGGGTTCTCAATAGCTTTGAACTGGGTTTAACTCTTGAGATGAATTTTTATAAGCAATAATGTCCCCTTTAGTATTTCATCAAGGAATGGTGACAATTCTTCTGTGTGCTTGATTGGGCCCTAGTTGGTGCACATCAAGGTCAAGATCCTTGTTTTGTTTTGATTCCCCTTACAGTGGTGATGAAACAGGGTAAGGTCTCTAACACAGAAAATGAATGCAAAAAATTTGCTAAAGTTGAAAGAAGGGGTGGAAGCCCCTAAAGATGGTGAACTAGTCTGGTGAAGCAAGTTCCGTTGAAGCTGGAAACAAAACAAGGATCTTGACCTTGAAATGAGATACTAAGTGTGATCCTGTCTGCAGGGGGCACATGCTGTAGCAAGAGTCCTGCAGTTTTAGGATAATAGGGAGACACTAAAGCAGTAGGCCGCAGTACTGAATGGGCTAGTCAGTCTGTGTCTCAATGTGATAAACTGTGGTGTAAGGTGTACTGAACTGAACAGTTGAAGATAACAGTCACTTTCAACTTGTGATGAACTGGGTTATGGCACCCTCTCAGCCAGTCTGTAGTATTTGCAGCGTGAACGGTGGTCTCTCTGTTGGGGACCCCCGTGTTCTCTTGATCCCTCTGACAAAGAAGCAATGCCAATATTAGCACTACAATCCGCCTGCCTGCAGGATTGACTGTCCTGCTCGTTGGTGATAAAAGTGATCTACAGTCCCTCTTTCCTTCTCTGCAATGTGGCTCCATCCAGCCTGGATCCCCTGAGGCCCACACTGTCTTCTCCACACATACACACATCCCCCACCTTTCACTATCTACTTCCTTCCTGTAAAGTTCCCAGGCTTCTCAATATATACTCTCCCATCCCTTTGCCAACTCTTCTGAGAAATCTAGTCTGTTCTCTCTTTGCCTGAGTGCAGATGTCCTGCTATCAGCATACAAGTTCAACAAGGCTATGCTTCAATAAAGTCTGAATAGTTGAACCGTAGAACACTGCCATCTTGTGGTTAAATAACATTCTGCAATACCTATTAGTGCAGTGTGTTACACAAATATTAGGCTATAGAGGTGCCTAGGCACAGTCACATCAGAAAAAGCACTGCTCTTTTTTTATGAGAAATTAAAGACAATATACCTTATATATTGTTTCCAAATGACTGTGTAGAGGCAATTAGCATATCTAGATGTTCCCTAGAAGACAGCAATTCTTCAGACTTTTGTGCACTTCAACATCAGTTGCACTGATGTGTATTGACGTGTTTTTTTTAAACTTGGTGCCCTGCGTTAGTCTTTGATATAACTTTATTGACCTGAGGGGCAAAATGCAGCATGCAGGACTGATTTCCAACACAGTGCAACTAATGCATTGCCCATGCATTTTGCTTTCTCTTGGAAATGTAGTAAAACAAGAGGAAAATGCATGCAAGCTTAGTGCATAGTGTAAATGGTGCATAAAATTTGTTTTTCCCATTTTCTCAATTTTGGAATCCTGTTTTACCACAACATAATAGAGCGTCTTTGTAAAATGTGCCATGAAGTCATTATTGGCACAGTGCCCGAACAAGTTACAAAGCCCTGGCATGTACCATACATTTGCAGTAATGTAGATAGAGGTAGGAGAGGAGATGTGTTTATATGTATCAGAGTGATGGCATAGACTTACAATGTTTACTGAGGAATGATCTGCTATATATCTTAGCAGATATTCATCTCTAGGAAAAGAACTACTCTGTGAGAAAATTCTATGTAAATGGAAACTGTGTTTTGTAATGTGCAATGTATCTCTAATAGTTCTGGGATTCAATAACTCACAAATGGTTTTCTGCAAAGATGAAGAGAGAAAAAAACTCCACAACAGATATTAATAGATCCATTAAATACTTCACTGATTCTTTTATTGAGTGAGGATGAGCAGAGCGAGATGTCGGCACGAAGCACTGGGGTTTAGTGGTTAGCACTTCTGGCCTGCAGCACTGGGGTCCCTGGTTTGTGTCCCGGACACCATCTGTATGGAGTTTGCATATTCTTACTGTCCTTGCGTGGGTTTCTTCCCACACTCAAAAAACAAGTTGGTAGGTTAATTGGCCCCAGTCATGTATGTATGAATGTGAGAGAGGGATTGTAAGCTCCTTGAGGGAAAGGACTGACAGGAATGTACAATATATAGAGAGCTGTATAAATTGTCAGCACTAAAATATCTGTAATAAATATACTTTATACAGTATATATATATATGTGTGTAGTACTACCCCCATAGGGACCACTGGTATTTCCCCAACATATACAGGGACTGCATGTCCCCATAAGCAACAGTCCATTCACACTGGCTCCACTAAACAGTCTAGGCTCTAGGACAGGGGTGGGCAAACTTTTTGACTTGAGGGCCACAATGGGTTCATATATTGGACCCGGGGGCCGGACCAAGAGTAGATGAATGATGTGTCTGTGTCATCCATAGTAAGTATAGTAATATTCC